CGCAAGGCCAGCTCTACGTCCACTACTCAAATCGACAACGTCCTTTTGAGCGAGGGTGACGACCATCCGGTCGCCTTGATTGACAAGATCTGTGCAGCCACCCCGCTTCATGAGCTGACGCGTGAGTGGAAAACCAATTAGGTTGATGAGCGGATTGCCCGGGACCTGATGCAAGTTAGTGAGATTGCTTTTTTCTCCTGTACCACCGTTCTTTCACGATTTCTAACCGTTGTTGGCTTTACAGATGTCCCACGTGGTCGTCGACCTCTTCTGCCAGGCATAATAGTCCGAGGATATGCACCAGAAAGAGGTCGATCCACTTAAGAAGGCCTTAGCTTGCTGGGACACCAAGATAAAGGATCTAGAGCTCAAGCTGGCCGCGACTGAGCAAGATGCGAAGGCAGCCAACCTCCGCCCCGATAATGCCGAGCTCTAGTTAAAGACTGCCGTCACGGACTATCAGGCATCACCGAACTTCCTCTCCGACGCTTCTGTAGATCCCGCTTGGCGGGCCGGCCACCTACGCCAAGGCCTCTATACTGCTGAGCTGTTCTTTTGAGCTTTCCTGAAGACTCGAGTCGGGGGAAGATCTGGTAAGGACCTACAGGTCTTAGGCCTTTACCTGCGGCCGCCAGTTCATGCAAAGGGAGGTCTAGATGGCTGTCACAGTAGCCATGGAGGATGATGACCTAGAGGCCGTGTTGGGCGTCCTGCCTTGAGAAGTCATAGATCCCAGGCGTGCTCCTTATACGGACGCCGCTCTGGAGCCGTTGATCGAGTAGCATCCCCCGGCCAAAGGTTGAAAATATATTTGTTTCAAATTTTTGCTTCTAGGAGCTCGATCTTGTTATGCCAAGCATGACATTTTATGAAATGAAAATGCCTTTCTTTCGATTGTCGCTTTTACAAATTGCGCCTTTCTTGCTAAAATTTTCGCTAAGCCCCTATAATCAGGCGGATCGGTCCAAGGACCTGGAATGGGCACCTTGCTCCCGACCCTGTAAACAGGTAGATCAAGCCAAGGACCTTCAATGGGCACCTTGCTCCCATGACCCTGCAACCAGGAAAAATCGATCCAAGGACCTTGAATGGGCACCTTACTCCCACGACCTTATAACTGGGCAAATCGGTCCGAGGACCTTAATGGACACCTTACTCCCAACCCTATAACCGGGCAAATCGATCTGAAAACCTTTAATGGGCACATTTCTCCCATGGCCCTATAACCGGGTAAATCGGTCTAAGGACCTTTAATGGGCACCTTACTCCCATTACCCTATAATTGGGAAAAATTGGTCTGAGGACCTTTAGTGGGCACCTTACTCCCATGACCCTATAACTGTGCAAATCGGTTCGAGGACTTTTAATGGGCACCTTTGTAACACCTCGTAATATTTATTCTGTTGTTAACTTTGCAAAATATTTCTTTAAAGGATTTATTCCTTTATCCTAGCCCAATTCTATTCGAAATAAATATTTCCTAGCCTTTATAATTTGAAAGCCCAATTCCTACAAGTTCTTATAAAATATTTAAGCCCTCTAAAGACTCATTTAATTATGGACTATTTGACTACTATATTTCCCTTGTATTAATATCTTTGTCTAGCATTGTAACCCAATCTCTACAATGTGAATAATTATTAAATGACCCATATGGCATGAAGCCCAACCCAGTTGTACATCTATACCCTAATATACATATAACTCTTGTATGTAATATTTTACCCTATCCACTCATAAAGTATCCTAATCATTTCATTTGGTCTCCTCATCACTCCACACACACCATTCACACCATTTCCCATCCCCAATCACTAGAAAACTTCCATCATCTTCCTAAAGAGAAATCCCTGCTAGTTTATCTTGAAATCGTTTTCATTTACAAGATTTGATAAGAATCTCCTTCCTTTCTCATTTCCTTCAACCATTCCATATTTTCTTTGCATATGTTCATTCTCTTTTTGGGGTTTGTAGAAGATCAAGGTGGTGTTGAGCTCCTAGGGTGAGATTGCTTGGAGGTTTGAAGTGATTTGCTAGCTAGAAGGTAAGATCTATACCCAATAAAACTATTTTCTTTTCAATATGTGGTAAATGCATTTCTTGAAAAATCCTGAGCATAATCTTGCTTTTATTTCTTGTCCTGAGCTTTATTCTTGAATAATCTTGAGTCTATTGTTGAGCTATGATGTCTATCTTGGATTCCCCTTGTTTTGGTTGATAATCTAGTGTGTTGGAATAGATTTCTTGTTGCATTTTAGCCTCTATTGTGATGAATCTGAGTTTCTGTTGTGTTGAATCCTAATGTCTTATGCGTACTGTCTCTGTTACATATTTGGCCTTACGGGTACTACCCACGAGTTGAACCCGCAAGGGTGCATTGGAGAAGGATTTGCGGGTGGATTGTACCCGCCAGTCACTTCAGTGAATCAGTACTGGCGGGTACTTCCCACCCGCTGGTTTTCTTGTTGAATTCTTTGATGTCCAGTGTATTTTCCTTTGGTTTCCCGTGCATTGTTGTTTGGTCTTGGTGCATCGCAAGTCTTTCTCAGTGTTTTGTGAACTCTTTGGCCTCCGTTTGAATTGTGATTCCTTCATGAATCCTTGTTCCTTGATAACCATTGATTCTTGGGTGACTTGATGGTATATATGTATATACCTCTCATTGGCTATATTGTATTATTGTATTATTGGGCTTCAACCATTGCATTGGTGGAATTGGAGAGCTTCGGCTCCATTTGAATAGGTGGAATTGGAGAGCTCCGGCTCCATTTGCATAGGTGGAATTTGAATTGCATCGGTGGAAGAAGCTTAGACTTCACTTGGGTGGATAAGGTTGTACTAGTGTACATGGTGGTCTTTTGGTGTAAAGGTTGGAATTGGAGTTTTGTTGGATATTGATATTGATATTGAATATTGAATATTTGATTATTGTTATATATGATTCTTGATTATGTATATACCATTGTACTTTGATTGAATTGGAAACTCTTGGAAATTCTATCTTGTTGATGTGTTGGTATCAATCTCTTGAATCCACTTTGAATTGGGTATCAGGGTATGTCTCATTGTCTACTGGTTGAGTCTTTGCTTTGTATCTTGAATTGTCTTGATCTTGAATCTACCCTTGAAGTCTTTCTTGAATTGATCTTTGAATCTTGAATGCTTGGGTAATTGAGTCCTTTTGAGAAACACTATTGAGTTGGTTACGTTTAACATATCTATGTAGTTGCAAAACCTACTTTGAATATCAAATATATATATATATATATATATATATATATATATATATATATATATATATATATATATATATATATATATATATACGGTTTACATGTTGGATTGGAATCTTACTCAACATTCTTTTGCTAATTTATTTTAAAATGTATTTCAGGTATGGAGTAGACTTGTTTACGAGAGCGCGGTAGTTAGACTCGTACCTCTAGTTAGTTTGACTATGGTTTGCTTAGACTTTGGGCCCGTGAGCCTTTTGTTATGTAATAAGTAGATATTTGGTCAGTCGCCTTTGAATTACAACATTGTGTTTGAGGATTTAAACTGTCTTAGCATTTAGGTCAGTATGCTTTAAATGTGGCATAACATCCCCCAGACTTGTTTCAGTTTGCTTCCGCTGTTGAACGTGAATTTTAGTTTTAAACCGTTGTTTTTAGCTTGGTGCCTTAGCTTGTATGTTTAAGTTTTGGGGGGTGCTACAACCTTACTCTCATGACCCTATAATCGGGCAAATCGGTTCGACGACCTTAATGGGCACCTTACTCTCGACCCTATAACTAGGAAAATAGGTCCGAGGGCCTTTAATGGACACCTTACTCCCATGGTCTTATAACCGAGCAAATCGGTCCGAGGACCTTTAATGGGCACCTTACTCCTATGACCCTATAACTGGGCAAATCGGTTCGAGGACCTTTAATGTGCACCTTACTCCCATGACCCTATAATCGACCAAATCGGTCCGAGGACCTTTAATGGGTAGCTTACTCCCATGACCCTATAATCGGGAAAATTGGTCTAAGGACCTTTAATTGGCACCTTACTCCCATGGCAAATCGGTCTTAAGACTGGAATGAGGTGAAGACAAGTGTTCGATGAAATGTTTCTTAGGATCATAGTCATTTAAAGGTGTTGTATACCAAGAAATAGCTTAGTAGACCGAGAGGTGAAAGGTATTTGTAAAGCCTCACATGAATCATTCAATTGCAATGTCACAACCTTGAGCTAAAACACTAGAAGCATCATGTGATAGATGAGAAACTCCATTCTTAGCTTTCCTTAATTGCATTCAATTACTTGTTTTTACTATTGATCTCTACAACCTCGATCTTTATGCACACAAAGCTTTAGTACAATGAACATGTATGTGATTAGCATGAATTCTATTCCCTAGTTCAAATCCGATTTAATTAACACTTCCAATTTGTCATCTTTTGAGAATGATAAAACTCGGGAAGTGATTCCTATCTTTTGAGCTCTTGTCAACAAAGGAGTTCAGTATGTTGAAAGAAGAAGCGCAATTTATACTCAAATTACTTTATTACCCTTATACTTGCCGGAAGTTTGGTGCCTTAAGTCACCGGAGGACTAAAATGGTTAAAAAATTGATAGTGGAAGGATGTAATTAGCCAATTCAAAATGACTAAGACCAAAAAAAAGTGAAATCAACATAATTGAGAGACCATTTTAATAAATTAATCGTTTTTTAAAACACTCTAGCGACGGATTTTCACTTCCGTCACAAAATTTACAAGCCGATTACTAAATACAAAAGTCGGAATTTTTTTTTTTTTTTTTTTTTTTATAAATTCAGTGATATAGCGACAGATTCCAAAATCCATCGCTAAATATGAGAAAACATATTTCACTGAGTCGCACAAAATTTACAAACGGATTACTAAATACAGAAGCCGGAATTCTTTTAAACTTTAGCTGCGGATTCTAGAATCCGTCGCTATGATCTTCAAAAGATCGGTCGCCAAATGTGAGAAAACATATTACACTGAAAGTCGCTGCCTAACCCTACGTACACTGAAAACATATCCTCAAATCCGTCGACGGATTCCTCCAGCCGCGTCTCTCCCCTAACGCCCACCACCGACGGCGCTGCCTTCTCCGCCGACCGCCGCTTCCCCTGCCGCCTACTCCGCTGCCCTATTCTATCTGGTATGTATTTGTTTTAATCCGCTGCTCTATTCTCTCTGGACGTGCATCTAATCTCCCGGGTATTGTCACCATAAGAAAGCTGCAAAAAAGCATATATGCATAATCATAAGAACAATAATAATTAATAGTAGTAAAAAGCGAGGACGAGATTGAGAGGTTTTGCAGTGGGGTTGGGGTTAGTAGATGCATATATGCATAATCATAAGAACAATAATAATTCTTCAACTCCCTCTGCATTTACTGGCAATGTCTCTTCTCTTACCCAATAAACCCAATTTAATTTCTCACTTAAATCATATATACACACACACACACACACATGTATACTATGCCTAAGAGGGGGTCGCATCTACAGAGGTTCAAAAGTGTATGGTCATGGTTTTTAAAGGTCTTAATCTGTATCTGGGTAGTCTTCTTCATACTGATAAACAGTATAATCATGTTCATACCAAGAGTCTTCTGAAATTATATAGGCCTTGTTTGGTAAAAAATTGGCCTATAGGCCAATTTTGGCTTATTTGACCACTATTAATTGTTTGATTTAGTTAAAATATCAATATAAATGTTTGGTTTTTGAGAAAAAAAATTATACCAAATAGCTATCATCTAACAACTAATTTACCAAACACTTTTCTACAATCAGCTAATGTTATCAACTATTTATACCCTCTAATTAACACAATCAGCTAACAGCCATTATACCAAACAGGGCAATAATCAAAATTATCAAAAGAGTAAGTTTTAGAAGTGTTGCTTATGTCATATGTAGCTTGTGCAGTGTTATGAAAAAGTTCTGCTTCAAAATTCTTTATGTGGTTTGATTTTGAAACAAGTTCTGTTATTTCATCAATTAGTGTAATAAGTTCATTTTCCTGAAAAGTTTTTTCAAGATTGTCATTAAGTGTGTCTATGATCAAAGTTTCTTGGAAAGTTTGGAACTCAAGTTTTTCTATTATCTTTTGACTAAGTCAGGGTATGGAAATCTTTTTAATAAAAAAGTTATTTTCTTATTATAGTGCAGAATTGTTATGTTATAATCTAAGTATTCTTCTTCTTTTGATTTCTCATCTAAGTAGAATGTATGGAATTTGTCTGCTTGTTTAAAAATTCTTTCTGTTTGGAAATTACTGTTACTTACAAAGTAGTCTTGAATAAGTTGTTTATTCATGTTTATATAATATATATATATTTCAAGGTTTTGTCAGGTTGAACTTTATGTTTTAATTGGCTCTTTATAGTAGCATGGCATTGTATTACATACAGAATATTGGCCGAAAGGAATCACAAAATAAATAGTAATGCTTCAAGAGTACGATAGTTCTTTCTTACTTTGCAGAGACAAAGATTTTAACTAATCCTATTAATAAGCTTTGATTCTTTTTTTTTTTCTTTTTTTTTTTTTAATTGTCATTTTGCTCGTTTGTATTGTACAGCATTTGTTCTCTGCTCATTCATATATCACAATTTTATATTATATATTTGAAAAGGTTATCATATTGTAATTTTGATTTTTATAAATTATGTTAATTATTATTTCTTTTATCTAAATAATAAACATACAATGACATTATAAATACCTGAACAATTTTCTCTTACCTTACAAAAATGATTAACATATAAAATTTTCACTAAATTAGTAAATTACAATACAAATATTGTAAATGTGTAGTCATAAAATTTCTCAAATATTTGTTTATTTTTCCCCACTCTAGCTGTTTGTTGAGTAAAGTAAAAATAACAAATTGTTGAGTAAAGAAAATAACAAATGTGTCCTTACAAATAGCTTAAGCTTTTTATGACATGCCTTACTGATAAATAATCTATCTCTTGATTCATTTTAATTTAGCATGATCTGAAGAAATGGATTTGACAGTAAGGTATATATTTTATTTTACCAAGTGTTAACATGTTGACTACTTAGTATTGCGAGCTGACAAATTAAATTTGAACTTACAAGAATCTTCAAGTTCTTCTTGGGTTGATAAGGTTTGAACTTGCAAAATTTTCGTTGTTTATTTGCCGGCTAAACCGCCAGTGGGTACCGGCACTTGTGTTTCCCCGGCTAAACAGCCTGTTGGTACTGGAGACTTATAAGACTATGATTGTTTATTTGAATCTCTATTTGAATATCTATAAGAATTTCCTCGAATGATTTTTGTCTCGGTGAAATGTAGTTTTTTTTTTTAATTTTTAAATGAGCATTGATTTTTTTTTTTTTGTTGAAATAGGTGATAAATACAATGAGTTCAAATCGTCATTGGATGTATACACGAATTAGAAATGGTCTTCTCACTGAGGAATTTTTGGCTGGTCTTGAAACTTTCATCCTATTTGCTACTAGTCAACATAGCTGGATGGATGGAGAAAGAATTAAGTGTCCATGTACTCAGCGCAAGTGTCAAAACATGAAGTTTTTAGATGTGCCTACAGTGAAATACCACTTAGCAAAATATGGATTTGTATCGGACTACTATGTCTGGCGCTTCCATGGCGAGAGCAATGTGAGGGTAGATGTTGATCGAGATGTTGGTGGCCCATCTCAAATGGCTAGTAAAGAAGCATCTAATGCTTACCACACAATGGTTATGGATCCTGCTGGTCTTGAATTTAATGTGGATGAAATAGAATAATCGCCAAATCCCGAGGCCCAAAAGTTTTATGACAAGTTGAAAGTTGAAGATCAAGAGTTGTGGCCTGGGTGTAAAAAGCACTCGCAGTTGTCTTTTGTAGCTCGATTTATGAGCTTGAAATCAGAGAATCACATAACAGAAAAATGTTTCAATCAAATCATTGAACTTATGAAAGAAGTTGTTCCGGAGGATAATCTAGTTCCTGACAACTTCTGTGAAACCAAAAGGCTACTACAGGGTATGGGGTTGCCGGTTCAGAAGATTGATTGCAGCAAGAACAACTATCACAAATTGGTAATACATTTAAAATGTATATGCAAAATTTATTATTTGTATATATTTTACAAATTAGAATATTCTATTGTTTGTGCTTGTTTAATAGCAAGATGAACTTCAAAAAAGGAACCTAATCTGTTTGAGTGTTTTGAGCACATGCAGAAAAAGAAGAATGGTATATTCATTGATGAGAGGTCAAAGAAAATCACGGTAAGTATAATGTAACAATCATATATTGTTAAATAGATAGAATTTATATGCCTTTGTATACTTCTTTTATTTTGTATATGTTTTTAATTGTAGGAAGAAATACAAGCACGACATGATGCTGCAATGCAAGAAGCTAAAGAGTCAACTGAGCCACCAATTATAAACATGCCACAACTGTCTGTGGATGTTGTTGGTGGGGTAAAGAAACAACGTATTGATGGCTTAGGGACTAAGGCTTCCTCATTTACCAACGAGAATAGTTGTAGTTCATCTGCTACTTCACCACTTAATCAAGATGCAATGAAGGAGATGGTGACCCAACACTTAGAGACCATGCGAGCTAAGATGCAGGCCAAGATGCAGGCTCAACTAAAAGCTCATATGGAGGCTAAACTACAAGCTGAAAGAGCTCATATGGAGGCTAAACTACAAGTTGAAAGAACTCAAATGCAGACTCAAATACAATCCCAGATTACAAGTTTGATGGATGAGTTGTGTCGCGGCGGCATGCTGATTGATGAGTTGCTTTGCAACGGCATGCTACCCACTTCTATGCCACGACCTCCAACAACTCAAGCTGAACATTTTGCTAATTCAAATGCTAAAAACGTAGGAGATGATTAGATTATGTTTATTAATATATTTGGTATTGTTTCTAGCGATGTAACACTACACAATGTTATACTTTTGTTATTGTTATTGAGTTTGAACTTTTTAATATAACATATTTTATAATTATATTATTGAAGTACTATATTATAGGTTTAATGTAGGTATGTGATATTAATTAGTGGGCAGATTTTTTTTTTTTTTTAATTTTCAAAATTTAGCTGCGAACAAAAATTATAGTAAATCCGTAGCTAAAATTCTAATAACAATAAAGAATGATAACAAAATAGCGACGAAAAAATTCGTTGTTAAATTTAGTGACGGATATTTTTGTCACTAAGCTATAGTTAAATGGCATCCAATGTAAACAATAGAAATGAATTATTGATGAAATTTTTCATCGTTAAATGTAGTGACGAAATTTTCTGATGCTATATTTAGCTACGAAAAATTTTGTCGTTATTCCCTTGCAAATTTTGTCACCAGATCGTCGTGGAAGGAAACTAGCGACGCAATTTTTTTGGTTTGATGACGGAATTTCCGTCGCTATAATTAGCGATGGAAATTTTCGTCATTATTCCATTGCAAATTTTGTCATCAAATCGTCGCGGAGAAGAAAATAGCGACGGATTTTTTGATTTAGCGACAGAATTAAATTGCGTCACAAAGCTTTAGCGACGGAATGATTCCGTCGCTAATCTCATTAGCGGCAGATTTTCTCCTTTCTACCGATGAAAATTTCTATCACTATTTCCACGTTTTTTTTTTTTTTTGTAGTGTTAGAGTGGTTTTCATTACATTGGAAGAGAAAGTGTTACCATATTCATTTACTTGCATGGACAAATTTTTTAATAATGTTGCAGAATATAAAACATTGATACTTGGACTTGAAATAGCGTTTGACATGAAGTAATTGAGGATTAATGTGTAGAAACTATAGTTGGTACCATATGATAACTATGCAAAGATAGTAATGCAGTGGTTAGGGAATACTACAATTGAACACATACCAAGGAAGGAGAATAAGCAGGCAAACACTTTATCTGTATTGGTTTCAACCATAGCCCATCTTACTAATGAAACCCTATTGCAAGCATGTCAAAGGTGAGGCGCAGTTCCTCCAATTTTCAATGAAGATGGCTCAGTTTATAAAACTATAGAACTCCCAACTACTTTTGTTATAAGATAGTAAAGAAGACTACATGTAACCATTCATTGATTATTTTACCGATGGGAAGTTAAACAATGAGGCTTCCACCCATCATATATCGACAAATTATATTGTGCACCGCGGTGCATAATCGATTATGCACCGCGCGTCAAAATGACGTCGTTTTATTTAGTGAAAAGAAACACCATCTGTTTCGCGCCGTTCCGCAAAAAGTAACTCTGTTATTCAATTTCATTTTGTATACACTGTAGTTTCATTTCGATATAACTACAGTTTCATTTCAATATAACTATAGTTTCATTCGATATTATAACACCCAAATATGTGAAAATGTTATTTAATTTTATTTTATATACACCATGATTTCATTAAAACACAACTACATGATCATTTCGATATAACTACAACTTCATTACACAATATACATTCTAAAATGTGAAATATTATTCAGTTTCATTTTATATACACTGCAGTTTCATTTCAACACACCTACAGTTTCATTTCAATTCAATTGCAGTTTCAGTTGATAATATAAAAATAATACGTGAGGCAGTGTCAGTTTAGATACACTATAGTTTTCATTTCAACACAACTACAATTTCACTTCAATTGAATTGCAGTTTCAGTTGATAATATGTAAATAATACGTGAGGCATTATCGGTTTAGATACACTGTAGTGTCAATTGATAATTGAATCCGTTAACTGTAACGGCGCACCGTTTCTTTACTTAAAGAAACGGCGGCCTTTTGACCACGGTGCACGTGCACCGCGGTCCACGATATAACGAATGTCATATATCGATGTTCATTTGATGGAATATTCCTTTAATGTTTAAGCAAATAGTTGGATGGCCTAAGCCCTAATTGCCTCTCCATCATGAAGATAAGGTACTAGAAGTGCTGATCCACTAATAATCGGTTGGGTGTAGCTTGGGTCATGATCATGGTTGAAAAATTGCTAGGTCCATCTCGGACCTCACGGGGGGGGGGGGGGGGGGAGTGGGAGACGTTGGAGGGCAGCAGGGGATGTTTTGTTGGCTAGGGAAGATGGAGGGCGGCGGAGGCTGTTTTGTCAGCTGAGAAATAGCAAAGATTTGGAGAAGAAAAATGGAAGGTGTGGCCGGGGAAGACGATGGGGAAAAAAATTGGGTGGTGTTTTGTTGAAAAATTCCTAACAATCTGCGTCCTATGTTCTCTAACATCGGGCACATATTATATTTTATTTAATTAAAAAAAAACGCTCGGACAATCTACGTTCGATGTGACAAGAGTGCATCGGACGCAGATTGTCCATTATTTAAATAAATAATTAAATAGTGAACTTTTAATTACAAAATTACCGCGCATCACATTATGCGTCCAGTGTTTGAACTTCATATGCAAATTGTCTTATTTTTATGGTAAATTTTGTACTAGTGAAAATAGATACAATGTCGGTTATGAAGCATAATTGACGTTGTATCTACAAAAAATCATCCAAAGCTAATGCATTCCCAGTCCCAAAAATTGCTCTAACATTCACAAAAAAAAAACATATTTGCTCAAGAAAGTCCGCACGAACTTAGTTTACTAGTTTAGTAGGCAGTATTTAGGAGAAAAGACTAATGTTCGAACCTCGGCAATGGTAGTATGGGATAATGTCCAAAGTGGACAGATCTCTTGTGTGCAGCGACATTTAGTCCTGTCTGCTGAGCCATTGAGTCACCGTGATTTACATCCTTGCAAATACCTTGTCGGACCGACTTCCAAATACCCTGTCGGACCGAAGTGTCGGGGCCTTTAGGATTGTAATAAATATTCTAACACGAGTTCCATGAAATTTGTTAGGATTTTTTTTTTTTTTTTACTCAGGGAGATCTCCAATGGCAAATGATTTATTCTTGGCTCTTGTCCACAGGTTCATAATAGGGAGCCGGTGACTCAATTAAGGCCGATTAGTCTCTATAACATGAATTGTAAGCTTTTAAGGGTGTGTTTGGTTCGTACATGGGAATTGAAATTGGAATGGGTATCAAATACTTGATAATAATAATGAGTTTTGGTGAAAGTATTTAACATGTTTGGTAGTAGGGTGGAATGAGAATGGTTATCAATAGTAGTGCTTGAGAATGAATAAGGGGGGAAGGCGATAGGGATAAAAATGAGTAAGAGATTAAGTAAATAAATGTGTTAAAATTCTATACCTTAATGTTTCTAATTTTTTAATTCCTATTTCAGTGTTTTTTATTTCGTGGGCTATTTGGTTTAATTGTTGGGTCACTTCTTTTATTTCTGTTTCTATCTTTATAATTGTGTTGTTGGCATCTTTTACTTCTGAAGTAATTTCATGTTTCATTTTATGATATTTTTCTTGAAAATTATTGTGAATTTCTTTAAGAATTTCATAAGTCCTTTTTATTTCTATTAAAGCTTCTTTGTTTACTTTTATTCCTTTATCAAGTACTTTAATAATTCTTCCAGCTGTGAATTTATCCTTACTATTCATAATTTTAATCTGGGTATTCGAAATTTTTAAATCTTTGTAAGTTTTTAAATTTTTCTGTAAGACTTGTAAATATTTCTCTTCTTTTTTCTACTGCTCTCTTTTCAAGTTCTAATATCTTTTTATCTATTCTATCTATATTATTTATAGATTGTTTGCATTTATCATAGTGGTAATTTTTTCCCATCGGATTTTCACATGTTATATATTTGACTCTATGATAATTACCTATTTTATACCAATCCCTTTGTTCTTGTCTTAACTTATTTTTATTATTAATAAATTTATCCCACTATTTGAAATTTTCAGAATTATTACTAGTTGAAGCTTCTTTGTTATATTCCATTTTAATATTTTCCAAGATCTTTTAAACCTTAAAAAAGGTGGATAAGTGATTATTTTTATTTAATACTTTCAAGAAATTTATAAGGCAGACAATATGAACAAACATTATGTTACAAGCAGAAGTAATCTTCATCATAGAGATCATTTTTCATTGAATTAAAAATTCTATAACCTCCCATCAATTTCTAAACAACATACCCCTTCAGATATTATTCTTAAAAAATTATCAAACAAAGTTAGCTTAACTCATACCTTGTGCAGACTTATCAGGTCACCGGATACTCAACCCTTCCTGCCCTTCTGTTCCCTTTACTGTTCACACAATACCACGGGAGATAGGCTAGAAGCTGGGAGTCCTCAACAGATCTTCCTAATATTTCTACACAATATATGGAGTGTGGCTAACAGATGTTTAATAATTTTTCTAGAGCTTTTCTCTTCTTTGGGTAATATGTTTATACTTTTGATAGTTGGTTATAGAAGAAAGAAAGTTTAGAAAGCCATGAAAAGAAACAAGGATTTTCTGAAGAAAAGAACTCAACTGATGACTTATCTGATCTCCAACTTTTCTGATACTTTTATTAAACAAAACGGCTCCTTATATAGAAAACCTCGGTAGGAAACTTACAAATATTTTACAACTCCTAAGTGATAACTCTTACAAGAAAAGTCTTCAAGCTAGGTACAATAACATAACTACTACATCAAAAGTTTTCAAACTAGGTACACACTAGTACAATAATAAGATAACTACTACATGTAAATATTTCAAACTAGGTACACACTAGTACAATAATAAGATAACTACTAAGGTGTCTTTATCTCTTTCTCCTTACATTTTGTCTTCTAGCATTTTTGTCTTCTTCCTTCTTTGCTGATAAGGCATTTCTTCCTGATCTTTATTTGATAAAATTTTGCAACTTGATTTTGGCTGATCATTTTTTCTTCTCTTGAGATTCCTTCCTTTAATACTTGTTGATATTGAGTTTCCACCAGTAATAACTTGGATAATACAGATTTAATATTTCTGATATTATTTTGCTGATACGTCCCTTGGACCAGAAAATTCTTGATAATACGCCGCTTGGGCCAGAAAATCATAATACTTTGAA